TGGAATTCATACGTGTGCTCTTCCGATCCCCCCAAAACCCCAAAACCCCGAGTGATGAAATTTCTAATGAGCGAATTAATCGTTATTATTGAAATATAAATTGTTTAATGTCCTTGCAAAATATGAATAATTAGCATTTTACAGGAATCGCCCTCAAAATATCAAGAATCAGAGATGGAATCGACCTCCAAGCAGACGTCCTCGCTGATCTAATACAGTAAACAAAACTTTTACATAACCTTTACCCTCAGATTGATTGAGGAGAAAAAAACTTCTCAAGAGTTGATCATAAAGTTGTTAGAGAGAAAGGGCCTATACAGAATCTATCAATTGATGTCTGCAGTTGATCCTAGTAATTTCAAAATTTAACTGACACCTTCCATAGTTATGAGGAGATTAGCTGCTAAGATGTTAATAGAGTTATCGTTTAGAAATGAGAAAACTCAGGTAATGCTCTGTGAATCGTTCTCTTTCACTCCAATTAAGGGTTAAGTAGCTCTTAATCCCATACCTCAGAGCATTCAGCACAAATTACAAAAAGATCCATCAATACTTAATCACATCAAAAATTGCTATGCCTCTATATCATCTTCCGAATAAACAAAGTAAATTGAAGAGACATAACATTTTAGCTAGAAATATTGGTCTTACCCTGACTTTCAAAGCTAGAAGAGCAATAACATCGGTATAAACTTCTACAAGAATCAAAATCACTCACTAGATGCTATATCCTCAGCAGGTGAGGAGGACGAATCAAATTACAACTCAAGAGTTCATGAATAAAAAGTTTAGGAAGATGATCGAGGAGATTACTATGCTAAACTTCTTAAGGAGTACCCTGATCCCTTTGACTATATCATTGGATTTCACTGTACATCCAGTCAGGAGTAAAGAAGATTAGCTGGCTAGTCTCCTTCAGCACTTCCAGTCTACTCAAATAGCAAACCAAAGTAAGAGAGTCCTAAGTAAAATGACAACAAGCACTTCATGTCAACTTCTCTGCCAAGTAACAGAGCAGATAAGAGGCCGAAAACCTCTGAGAATAATTACACTTTGAACTATGGCGGAAATAAATACCAAACTAACTAGAACAATGGCAGAAATACTGCTATGAATGGTTCTCATTAAAATGGATAAAGTGAACATTCGAATCCCTTTGTTAATAGTTTGAAAGTGCCCTCTGATAGCAATGATCAAGGGTACATAAAGTACAATCAACTAACAAGCAGCTCTGTTAATGAAAACGACTCTGATTATAGAAAAGAAAACTAAGAAAATCCTAGTGGACTTCAATCTAAAATTACTACAAATAATAACGGAAATGGATCGACTACTACTTCAATGGAGTAAATCCCTCATCAATATCAAAGCAACAGCACTTGGAATCCAAGAGACCTAAAAAAGTAAGATTGATATAGTTTAATTCAACAATTTAATAGTATGTTTTTGAATAGAGAAGAAAATCATCAGTAGGTGATTACAAATAACACAGCAAAGTTGAACTTAAATGGAACTGGGAACGCTTATTAACATAAGAAAAATGATTCAGTAATAGTCTCACACAAGCATTACTAGCAAGCATCGCCAAGCATCCAGTCAATAGCTAAGATTGCTTATCAATCAGCTAGAAAAGGATAATTCGGCAACTAAAATCAGCCAGGTAACTATATTGATCTCATTAAATTTTTAGAGTCTACAATGCTTTCCCCCTCTATAATGAGTATGAATCAGTCGAAATAAGTATAACCATCATTTCCTGATAATGCATTGTTCAACAAAAGTCTTGCCTCAATGAGTTGGGAGAAGTAATAGAAAGATCAAAGCTTGTATCAATCAATCAGCAAGATTTCATCTAACTACTACAACTAGGGGTAATCAAGCAGTAAAAAGGATAAAATTTCTTACACCAACAGAATTAAGAGTCCATCAAATCAATCAGTAGGGAAAAATTCTCAATCAAGTTCAATTGGAAGATCTAGTGTTGAAAAAAAATTCTAGCCTTCATCGATCTCTACCTTCCAGCAATCTAAACTTTAAACAGCTGTCCATTCTAAAAAAACTTCTAATGGACTTGGCAACACACTCACTTACTCTACTTACAAAGAAAATAATAACAACTTAAGAGACAACTCCTAAAATCAAAGGACTGGTATTTATTAGACAAATTAAAAGGATGCTAATATAGCTCAATCCTAATATGTGCCCACTCATTTGAGATAATTAGATGAGAATTTAAATGAGCATCAGCCAGGGTAATACAAGCCTAATTCCACCTATGTTGACTATAATCCCCCTTCAAGATCAAATAAATAGTCAATTTCAATTCAAATGGATATTTAAAGTAATGCTAAAAAGGTAGCCAATAAGACTCAAGTATAAAATTACATCTCTGGCTACTCTTATGACAGTTAAGACATTGATGCACAATATCAAAGTTTCAATCCAAATGCTAATCAAAATGCTTAGATGAGTTTTTACAATTAATTTGGATAGACTACTGATAGTAATTAATAGAACTATTCTTCAGTAGAGAGGTCAGCTAATTTAACTCATGATTCAAGATTTCAAGGCACAACTGAGAAAATGGACAATTTGAGAAGACTTTCAGATTCGATTAAAAAGAAGATACAAGAATAAGAATATGTAAATCAGTAAGCTAAGGAGAAAATGAAAGTAAAATCCATTCATTTGCAGAGTCAGGTTCCCTCGAGTAACTCTACCTATGTTGCTAATACTATGACTAACAATAGCTCAAGTGTTGGCAGCAGCACAAGAACTTCTTAAACTAGATAAAACAATCAAACAACTAATAGTAGCGTTACTGGGCTAATAAATCAGCATCAATACTAGCATTAAAATAGCAACAACAATAACAACTAAAGTAATACTAAAGATCTCAATACATATTTCTATTCTTAGAAAACATAAGTGCCAACCAATAGACCATCTGCTCCATCTAGCAATAGTTAGCATACAATCAATAACCTGAGACAAGGTTCAACCTCACCAATGAACAATAAGTTTATTCAGAGTACTTATATAACTGCAAGTCAGAGTAACTAGCAGCAGTAGTAATATCATAACAAAAGTAACAGTCTAATGTCAATGATCAGTAACTAACTCTCTTAAAAGTTAAACCATCAGGATAAATACATGTTCAAGAGTCTGCATGCTTGACGATATTTATGAAATTAAATTAATCACTCATTAAATTCATAAAGAATTTGAGTTTTTGCTAAACATCATCTTTCTTTCTAGCAGTTTATTTTATATAACGACTTGATCGCTTATCTATTTCTGATATTTACATTTTTTAAATTGAATTCTAAGGATTAAATAGCATGAGGGTTTTGGGGTTTTGGGGAGATCGGAAGAGCACACGTC